TAGCTGTTCTTTCATTGTTTATGTTTTTAATCTTTCTACAACCCAACAAAAATAAATTTAGGTGATAAACAACTCAAAATTCACAAAAAGTGTTTTGTCATTCCTGAAAATGTGAAAACAGTGTAATACATATATATATATATATATATAATATATATATATATATATATATATATATATTATATTATACATATATATATATATAATATTATATTATACATATACTATACATATATTAGTATATATATATATGATATATATTTATATATATATATATATATATATATATATATATATATAATATGTATATTATATACAAGCTATACGCTGACGAAGAAGCTGAAGCTGTTTTCACTTGAAGATTCTTTTCGTGTGGGGGATCATCCCATTCTGGGTTTGGTTTTACAGTTTCTGCTGTGTTTTCGCTGTTTTCACTGCTTTTCTCCATTCTTCTTTTTCTTGGTCTATCCTATCTATATTTCTAATTTCCGTATTCCTTAAGTCTTCTTCCACTTGTTGTCTCCATCTCAGTTTAGCCTCTGGTTCTTTTACCTGGTGGTATCTATTCTGGTATAATTCTTAACGGATTGCTCTTATCTCTTCTCATTATGTGTCCATACCATCTAATTCGTTATGCTTATATTCTCTATGTTCTCTTGACCCATTCATTATTATATTCCGTGATTTATCCATTGTCTTGCATCCCCTTCGTTTTCCCTCTTTACAACAAATAGAAAATGATATAACAACCTTAAAAATTAAAAACTGGAGAAAAAAAGCACGAAACAGATCAGAATGGAGAAGAATCCTGAATCGGGGTAAGACCCAAAAAGTGATGATGATGATTTATATATATATATATATATATATATATATATATTATATATATATATATATATATATATAATATATATATATATATATATATTTATATATATATATATATATATTATATATATATATATATATATATATATTATATATATATATATATATATATATATATATAGGTATATAATATTATTATTATTTACATATACATTGAATATGCTTATTCTAGTATTTGCTTATTCTAGTTGACACTTAAATCAAGAACAAAATGACCAGACGTAAAGAAAATATCACTGAAAAACTTTCGTACTTAATAAATCTACAAAACTGTATCTTGGTAATGCCTTCACCGAATGCGGTGCACTAACGATAAATTAATTTATATGGTGTCTAAGAAAACAACATTGTCTTTCGTACATGTTGGAGCAACTCCATTACAACGGCACGATGAAGATATATCTTAAGACTTTTGCCATTCGAACAAGACGTAACAGTACGCGGATGTAAGTTTCTACATTATAGGGTTGTCGCTATGCATAAAGGTAGTCAACTAGAAATTTAATATAATGAAAATGTTGAAACAGAACAAATCATAAAACTGAGATTGTTAAACAATCTTCGGTAAACATATATGTACACACCTAATTATAATCAAATGCATAAGTAAAAATATATAAATTCTTAAATAAAAATAAATTTAAAAAAAAATTGTTGTACTTTAAATTAATAAATTTGCTGTTGGGTGTGTGCGTGTGTGTATGAGTGTGTGTGTGTGTCTATGTGGGGGGGGGAAGAGAGAGAGAGCGAGAGAGAGAGAGAGAGAGAGAGAGAGAGAGAGAGAGAGAGAGAGAGTGAGAGAGAGAGAGAGAGAGAGAGAGAGAGTATGAGATCATGGCATGAGACAAAAATTTTTTGTCGGCAAACATGGAAATAATTAATTATTTGAAACGTTTCATGCTGTCTATTTCTTTAAACTATACATTTATTGTTGCATTCCTTATAAAATTAATTATGTACGACAGAAAAGCTATAATATTTGGTGACAATGAAAATTAATAATTATTTCTTGATTCAGAATTGAAGAAATTGAGAGTTCAGATTCGAGGAATATATTATTTAGATCACCAATGGATACATTATCACAAATGCAAAGAGAATAGTAAGGTATTCCAATTTTATATAGTCAGATGAAAAGCGAACATGTTTTAGTTAAGTTATTATTATAAATGTAAAATAAATAAATTGAACGAGTACTATATAGGACATATTTTCCCTCTGTTATATAAATGTTTAAAGTAGTGCCAACTAATCGTCTAACCAGTTTAACGTAAATCGTAACTATCATCATTGGCTCCACAGCCCAGATTGAATTTAGGCCTGATCAATGAATCCTCTTCAATCGCTGCCATTTTTAGCTTTTGTTTTCCAGATTCTAGTTTCAACTCAACACTTTTGTACTCGGTTCACATATCGTATTTTTAGCCGCTTCTGTAATATGTCTAAGGCTTTTTTTAAATTGCCGTCTGCAGTTCGTCCGAATTGCTCAATATGCTTCTGATCCATAACCTTCGAGTGGTAACATGCGGTATCGGATATCCACATGTTGAATTTTTGGCTCATATTATTGTTTTGTCCGCGCGGCTGCGAATCGTACGGACAGTTTATAAATATGTTTGACCCGACGGTGCGAGAGGCCGACGTTACCATTTGTGTTATACTAACGGTTTTGTCGTGTTTGGACCATAGTTTAAGTAATTTAATTATTACATTACATTAGTTTTAGACACTACTATATTGATTTTAGAAATTGTGTGTGAATATAGATTACGAAAGAGAACAAGCAGGTTGCAACAACTTTCTAACCAACTTGTTGCAAATTCGGAACCGGAACCAGTCGATGACGACGCAAGTTTGCAAGATGGTTGTTCAGAAGTTCCAGAATATGATACTAATTTGAAGAAGGAATTATGAGAAGAAGAATAGGTCTAAAATCATGTTTAAGTTAAAGTAACATCCCTCATACCAAGTTTGATTTGAAAAGATGGAACAATGGAGGAAACATCATGGATTGAAGCGTAACATTCAAACGCGTGCTAAAAATATGCCAGAATCTAAAGGTAAAATAAGGGGAAAATTAGTAATTAAATAGATTAAGGAATATTTTTCACTACAGATATTCCAGAATAAAATTGTAGAATTCACCAAAAAAATTATAACATTAAAACCCTATGACAGATAGTAACAGAACAGCTAGGTTAATTGATATGATAGAATTAAAAGCTATGTTGGGTCTTTTGTACATATCTGGTACTAACAAAAGCAATCACTAGAATGCTGAGAAATTATTATGAACTGATGAGAGGTCAATGTAGATTTGTCGCCTTACTATGTCACTAAAGAGATTCTAATCCATTATAAGAGACATTCGGTTAGATGAAAAAGTACTGAAATACAGAGGCAAGGATAAGAAAAATTTTTCCCCAAAATGTAAGGCATTCTATCTCTTTTTGAATGCCACTGGGATAAATGTCTACAATATATAAAAAAAATCGAAATCAAACATAGGCATTCCATTATAGACGAAAGTTTTTTAAAGACTTAAGTTTTTATTTTATTGATTTAAACCTATTCGCAGACAAGTTAGCCAAACTTTTTGGCATGCATACAAGGTATCAACTTATCCAGATTAATGTGTATGAAAGATGCGTTCTGCAGTAGTGAGAAAAATCAAAAAACTCTGTTTCTTTGTAGGCAGAGTAGGAAATATATGTGTTTGGAACATTAAACCGGACTATGGAATGTGTTTATTTATTATTGTTTATTGGGAACCGTTTATTGGTAATAATCGATACCCAACTTGAAAAAGTAAGCAAATACAAACACTTGGGAACCCTCATTAATGAAGCAGGTGACCAAAATCACGAGATAAAAAGACGTATTGAAATTGCTAGGTCTACCTTTACAAAAATGAAAAAAAATATTTTGTAATCATGATATTAGCATTCATCTACGAACTAGAATGTTAAAATGCTATATATTCACTACTTTGCTTTACGGTATTGAGGCATGGACTCTTAAACAGAGGAATATTAAAAAATCTTGAAAGCTTTGAGATGTGGTGCTACCGCCGTATACTAAAAATAAGTTGGGTGGATAAAACTTTCAAATAAAGAGATAATACGCAGAATAAATAACGATCCAGAAGTTATTATGAATATTAAAAAGAGAAAACTTGAATACTTAGGCCACCTGATGAGAGGACAAAAGTACACGTTCCTACAAAATATAATGCAGGGAAAAATCCAAGGACGCAGAAATCCAGGCTGTAGAAGAATGTCCTGGATTAGAAATTTAAGAGAGTGGTCTGGCTGTACCACTAACGAATCATTCAAAACAGCAGTTAATAAAATTAGAATCGCCATAATGATATCCAATCTCCGATAGGAGATGCACTCAAAGAAGAAGAATGCAGTGTGTGCAGTGAAGAAGAAAATGAGAATTCAAATGAACACTAATAATTGTAGTTTATGCTAGACATTTGTTAAATAATTTTATTTTTTTATAACATTTTAACCCTTGTTGATATTTTGTATTAAAAACTTGACATGATTTTGTAATTTGTTTGTCAATATATATTTGTACCTAAATTTTTTTTTCCTGATATTAAAAAATATGGATAATTTATTTCTATATTATTATTTAAATATAATATGTTATATGATAACTATGCTATAAGAGTTTTCGTTACCAACAGAAGGATAAATATACTAAGTGACGTAGAAATCCGAACACCCCGTTTAACTGATTTTATTTTAATAAAATTTTGTATAAGTACTTAATGAAGCATAATAAGTAAATGATTAAAATTTCAAAATGATTGCATTGCTTTAAAGTCCTTTTACCTTTAATAATGTGTGGATGCACCCCGATGTGTACATTCTTCAACGTGCCTAGGCATGCTTCTGATTAGGTGGTCAATGTCCTCGTGTGGTATCTCATTCCAGTCAACCATCAACACCTCTCGAAGTGCTTGTAGAGTCTAAGGAGGACGTTGCCAATTGAGCAATCTCCTACCCATCATATCCGATATGTGCTCAATATGAGATCTTGGGGGCCATGCTAACAATGTGACATCATTATGTTGAAAGAAGTCTATTGTGACTCTTGCAACATGTAGTCGGGCAATATCTTGTTGAAAAGTTGGATTTGCCAGGGTGTCAAGATAGGGTAAAAGGTGGGGTTCTAGAACTTTTTGGATATAACGCTGCGCGTTCATGTTATCTCTGATAAAGATTAAAAGTGACCTGGAATCATAAGCTATAGCACCCCAAATCATAACTCCAACAGTGTGATGAACATGTCTTTCAACAAAAAACTGTGGATTCCTCCTTTCACCACGTCGCCTTCTATACCTCGCTAGACCATCGTGCATGCCTAAATAAAATAGAGACTCGTCACTAAAGACAAGACTGTTCCACTTCTGATTCCAGAGTGACCGTTCTCTGCACGCACCACTGAAGGTGATTACGGCGATGTTCTGGAGTTAAAGGGAGGACCCAGTGTGTTCGGTTTAAAAACAGGCCAAAACTTCTGATTCGTCGGTAACCACTTCGCATGCAAATAGGTCTTCCGTGTTCTGCAAACCATTCATTTACAATAGAGCTGGTAGTGGAGAAACGGTATCTTAAGGCCAATAATATTAGGCTGCGATCTTCACGGTCTGTTGTTCTATGGCGGCGTCCAGTGCCCACTGCTCTTTGAGTAGGGCTTTCTTGAAGCCATGCCTGACAACACCTAACCACGGTGTCTGCTCACACTTCTTTGCACTATAACTGCAACTTCCTGAAAAGAAGGTCCAGCTTCCCAAAGTCCCATTATACGGAGCATATCAAACTCACTAAGTTGACGAAATCTTACAGGTCTCCATACTCTAGGCAATGTAACCAATCGTAAAGAATGTCAAGAACCACAATCCGCCAAATTTGGATCTTTAGTGCGACTGAAACATTCATTTTTAGATTATTAGTGAATTTAAAAACAAAAAGTATAAAAACCGGAATCTCCAACTGATAAGGCTAAAAACTTTATCACTTGTTTTCTTCAGTAGGATAAATAAATTACACCAAATTTTATTGAAATAAAATAATTTAAACTGGGTGTTTGGAGTTCTATTTCACTTAGTATAAGTACTGGTCTGATAAAAACTTTACAAACCACAATTTGGATTCGGTGGTAAATACATCTAATTTTAGATTTTAAAAACGTCCATTGTACCTTTGATTTGCTAGATAGAGTCTGTGCTGAGTTTTTGTCTTTGCCATTATTTAATATAAATCCAACGTATCTAAATTCTAAGACGTTTTGTATATTTTTATTTCTTGCTAAGATAATTGGGGTGGATGCTTGCCTTCTATTTATTGACATATTTGGTTTTATTAAAATTTACTGCAGTCCCATTTTAGGGTGCCGTATCATACTATGCAGGAGAATGGTTCCAGTTTTTGTTGTTGCGTGACTCCTATAATATTTGCGTCATTTGCATATGCCATAATTCGTACTCTCTAGTTTGCCTGCCTTTTAAGATTATGTTTTAAGTCTCTTCCAATGTATTCTATTTCAAATTAAATAAAATAAAAGGCAGATAACACGTCCGTACAATCTCATTGAGTTTTCACTCTAAATTCTGTTTCATGGTGCTAAATTATGTTTCAGTCTGTTAAATTCTGTTTCATAAAATCATGGTGCCTTTGACTTCTTCTTCTTTTTATCTTCTAAAGTTTCATTTGTAGAATCGAAGGTTATAAATCGTCATAGCTGTGAGGACCCTGTTAACTTCCGCTCTAAAGAGATTTACGGCATTCAAACCATTCCATCACGTTCTTAAGCCACGACATTCTTCATCTTCCTACATTTTGGTTTCATCGAATTGTGCCTCGCATAATAAGCTGTAATAATGAGTATATTTGCCCTCTCATAACATGGCCTTAAGTTTTCTTATTGTGATAGTCAATATTATTTCGCTATTTCTATTCTTCTATTAACTTTTGAGTTTGACACTCTGTGACTAATTTTACCAATTGTTTTGGTATGCCAAAGCTAACCATTGCTGTAAACAATATGTGACGGAGTATGCTATCATATGCAATGTGAAAATCTACAAAAAGTTTAGGAATATCAGCATTAAATTAGCGGCATTCTCTTACATTTATTTTATTATGAAAATTTGGTCTGTTGTAGACTTTTGCTTACAGAAGCTACACTGATATTTTCCAAATATTCCATGCATCTGGTTGTAATCTTAGGTATGTCATATTTAAGAAGATCTCACACGTTACACTATGTAGAGGAAGTAGGTCTTAAGAACATTATTTTTAAATACCTAATAATTTTACAACCATAATATTAGTAAAGAAAATATCTAACTACTTCACAATAATTTTTTTATTGCATCCGGTTGTACAATTATACTATGGGTTATATTAAATTTTAAGCTTTTTATATACACACTGTTTATATATTAAAAAAATAGTTCTCTATGCTAAGCGTTATACATTTTTGCGGAACCCTTCGTTCGAAATAAATTCAAAGTTACAAAACGTTCCGATAACCTCATCGATCACTACTTCACGTTAGCTCTGACGTAAGCCATAACAAATGTCAATTTTAAACATAAGGCTTGCACGATAGCCTTGGTTGGTTTCGATATATGAGCGAGTCAGGTAAGTCCATGAATCCGAATTAGAAACTGGCTCGCGTAGTTCCCTTTAACTTACGACTGAAATATATGGAATAATTTTGAAATGCGGAAGGAAAAACGGTATTGGACTGTGGTTGTTAATTTGGAATAGATAAAGTTACTCTTACAAAATCTGTTTTATTCCCTTTTGTTAACGAACTATTGTAAAAACATTGGTGAGCTACAATGTACCTAATATAAAATTGTGTTGCAAAAAAGTGATAAATTCAAAAAA